TTAGGTCCATTTTTCATACTTACAAGCATTGCAGTATCCCCATGATCATGTGATCAAAATTTGGATGCTTGGCAACGGACTCATATTTATGACAGTTGCAGTGTCCCGGGGTCATGGGATCACCTTTTGTGACCTTCTTACAAGCCAAGTCAATGGGGAAGTCAGATTTACTTAACAACCATGTCACTAACTTAACAACTGCCATGATTCACTTAACACCTGTTTCACTTAGCAATCAAAATTTTGGGTTCAATTGTGGTCGTAAGACAAGGACTACCTATACCAAATAGATACCGAGTTGGTCTTCTATCACCCCATTTCATTCAGCTAGTTTAAAACCTTTAATTGAAATTTAATTAATCAGGAAATAAAATCCAACCAAACAGGGTTTTTGTCTTGCTTACTTGTCTGCCTCACAAAATCTCCTTTTCTGAGTAATAGTTTACAGTGTGGAAGAAGCCCCCAACTCTATAAGGTTTCCTAATTTATATTCTTGGCCTTCCAGCTAAATTGTTAGGTAAAGACAATGCTAGAGATGATTTATTTGAACAATATAAGACAGACACAGCTAAGATACTTGATAAATGCTCGTCTGGGATCTCATTTTGTATCTCCTGCCCCTGGGAAAAAAGGGGGTGTGGTTATTTACGTTAAGCAAAGTCTACCAGTTTGTCTGGTAGAATCAGATCCTCAAGGAAGATATGTTATGATTGAACTTGGTTTATATGGTAAGAAAATACTTATAGTGGGACTGTACGCACCAAACCAGCAACAGGAACAATTTTATAGATTGTTACATCAGAAAATAACTTCACTGGACTATAGATCTGTGATATTAATGGGAGATTGGAATGGTGTCTTAGATACACAAAGGGACAAAAAAGGTTCTTCTACCTTTTTTAAACAGGCCAAATTACCTAAAGCCTTTTTTGATCTGAAAGAGGATTGGGAGCTGAGGGATTATTGGCGTGAACGTAATCAAGAGGAGAGAGACTTTACCTTTTTCTCAGATAGACATCAATCTTTTTCAAGAATTGACTTTTTCTTGATTACAACTGACTTATATAATAGGGTAAAGAATGTAAAAATTTTTCCTAGGTCATTGACGGATCATAGTCCAGTTTGGATGGAAATGGCTGATGAAAAAGAGGAGAGGAGATCCTGGAGGGTGAATGAGAACTTATTTAGACAAGAAAGGAATGTTCAAAAATTAAAGGAGTGCTTAAAGGATTATTTTGCTTTAAATATGCATAAAGGAACATCAATATCAATGGTATGGGACGCAGGTAAAGCTTTCATGCGTGGGATTCTGATAAAAATGAACAATGTCCATAGACAAAAGCAGATCCAGAAACGTAAGGAACTGGAAGATGAGATTAAATTAAAAGAAAAGTCTTTGATTCTAAATCCTTCAGATGAAAAGGTTAAAGAATCTATAAAGTTGCTAAAAACACAATTTAATATGTTGATGGCTGATCAAACCGCAACTAACTTATTGTTTATGAAACAAAATACATTTTGTAATGCTAATAAACCAGGGAGATGGTTGGACTATCAATTAAGAAAGAAACAGAGACAGAGAATTATAGATAAAATAAATTATAATGGTAAATTAGTTTATCAGAAGGAGTTGATTAAGAAATCTTTTTTAGATTATTATCAAAAATTATATAAGAGTACCAATGTACAAATTTTAGATATAAATAATTATCTAAGTGAGGCTAATTTTCCTAAACTAACAGAAGATCAGAAACAAGAAATTAATGGTTTAATTACCAATGAGGAAATTGTGACAGTTATTAAGCAATTAAAATTAGGTAAAGCGCCGGGTACGGATGGTTTGACATCCATTTATTATAAAACCTTAGTAGAAGAGATGATTCAGCCTTTATGTGAGCTTTTTAATAATATATTACAGGGCTCAGAGATTCCTCCGTCATGGCGCAGTGCTTTTATATCCTTGATTCCAAAAGAGGATCAAGATCTTACTTTACCAAAGAATTATAGGCCTATATCTCTCTTAAATGTAGATTATAAGATCTTTGCAAAAATTTTAGCTAATAGGCTTATGAGGGTTATGCATCAGCTTATACATAAGGATCAATCGGGTTTTATAACTGGTAGGTATATGAAAAATAATGCTAGACAAATTATTCATTTATTAGAATATTTAGATAAGAATAACCAAATCTCTGCAGGGCTGATATTTTTAGATGCTGAAAAAGCTTTTGATCAATTGAATTGGCAGTTTATGTTAAGAGTAGTTGAGGAGATGAATTTTGGAGAAAAAATATTACAAGCTTTTGGTGCTATATATCAAAAACAAACGGCACAACTTAGTTAATGGGGGTTTGTCAGAGGTTTTTACAATAGAAAAAGGTACAAGACAGGGATGTCCATTGTCACCGTTACTGTTTGTTTTAACATTGGAAATTTTGTTGATTAAAATTCGAGAGTCGCAGGAAATAAAAGGAATAGAAGTTAACAAAAAAGAATATAAGTTAAGAGCTTTTGCAGATGACTTGGTGGTTACTTTGTCTCAACCTACCTATTCTGTAGTAAAGTTACTACAACTGATTTACCAATATGGATAGGTTTCGGGTTTTAAAATTAATAATAAGACTAAAATATTATCTAAAAACATGACTAATCGGGATAAGCAGATTTTGGTTAATTTGACTGATTTTGAAGTTGTTGATAAGATAAAATATTTGGGGTTTAATTTATCTGTTTCTAATGTAAAATTGTATAAGAATAATTATGAAAGGCTGTGGGTCAGGGTACAGAAAGACTTGAAGAATTGGGAGAAGTTACAGTTATCTCTTATGGGAAGAACTGCTTTTCTTCTTTTTTAAGCACTTTTTCTTTTTAATGCTTATGTTTTTTTGTTATATATATCTTATTGTTAATTATTTTATAAGTTGTTTAACTTTTTTTTAGGATTTTTTAAATTTTAATTAAGCCTATATTCAGCTCTGGGAAGCTCGGGGGGGGATGGAGGGGTGGTTTGGGAGGGGTTGGGTGAGGGTTATTTTGTTTTTTTGTTGTTGTCTTTTTTGTTTTTTGTAAAAACTCTTAAAAATTTTCAATTAAAAAAAAAATATTGTTGGGAGGGACACTTAAATTTTCCTTCCATGAATTCTTTCATCATTTCATATTTTTGCATCAAAACTTAATCGATGATTAAATGATTTGTAGGGCCACACAAAGTACTCCAGCACCTATGAATGGCTAGCAGTACATAAAGCTTAAAAAAAAAAAACCATAAGCAACAGTATAAATCTTTCCTCTATAAATATTTTCTCAGTCAAACATTTTGTCTATTGGAATTGGTTTATCAAAATACAGTATGCAGTTTTGTTCTGTGCCTCTGTTGAATCTTATTACAACCACATATTGTTGCTTCCTCAGTATATATTTCATCAAAGCTCACATTATTTATACATAGCAATTTGGTTATAGTTTCACTCTAGATATTCCTCAAATGCCCTCTGACTTTTACAACTTTTCAACCATCTTAATAAAATGCAAAAAAAAGAAAACCCCAACCTTTCAGTCTTTGGAGGAGATAATTAAATCTGTCAGGGAATCTTTTATTCATCTTAGAAAATATTATGCTAGTTTTTCTTCTCATTTATTAAACATCATTCTTATCTTCTGTGTACAAAATCACTATTTTAACACACACACAACCAGTTCCCTGAACTGTTGGCAACAGACATCAACACTATAAACTACTTTACTGGCAACAGAGTTGTTGTGCCACTATTCTGCTTTCCACAAATGGATACTAGCTCATTCTCAAGCTTTGTGATAAAAGATTTTGAGTGACTTCCTTCCAAATGCAACTAATGGAGCTGGCATGAGATAATATACCCCTTGCTTTTAAAAATTAAATTTCAATTTATCAAGAGATTCTCACAATTGCCTGCAGCTGGCTTGTACAGAGAAAGGGAAGGCTAGTGAGTTTTGAAAGTGGTTCCATTTTCCCCGTGTAAGTTTGTTCATTTGTTTGAAAAATAATGCCCTAAGCTGTTCAGACATTCATGGGAATGAAACCTGTTTGAGAACCTCTGGCTTAAATGAAAACAATAAAAGTGGTAGGTTACTGAGGGACATAGGAGTATTCTACATTGCAAAGAACTCTATAGAAAAGGAAAAATATACAGTAAACCTCAACTTGGCTGCAAGGCAAAGTAACAATGTGATTCCAACAGCAAGAAAGTTCAATCTAAAATTCAAAAAATAAACATCTTACAGAAGTCTCCCCCATGTAATTTTTTTTTTGCTAGCATTCAGATCTTAACCTGTCATACATTTGTGAGGCTGTGAGAAGCTAAGATTATCACATTGCTGATAACGTTTGATATTGGGGTAATTTTATTTATCTATTATTAATTTACTTGCCACCCATCTTTCCCCAAAGAGACTCTTTTATAGGTAGTCCTTGACTTACGATCACAATTAAGCCCAACATTTATTTTGCTAAGTGAGGCGTTCGTTAGGTGAGTTTTGCCCCGTTTTACCACCTCTCTTGCTACATTTGTTAAGTGAATCACTACAGTTGTTAAATTAGTAAAACAGTTGTTAAATGAATCTGGCTTCCCCACTGACTTTGTCTGAAGGTTGCAGAAGGTGATCACATGAACCCAGGAATCTGCAATCATCATAAATATGAACCAGTTGTCAAGCATCTGAATTCTGGTTACATGACCATGGGGATGCTACAATAGTCGTGTGAAAATCGGTCATAAGTCACTTTTTTCGGTGCCGTTGTAACTTCAAGTGGTCACTAAACGAACCGTTGTATGTTAAGAACTATCTATATTTTGATAATTACTGATCTACTGTCAATCTATAACATTATATTCATGGTCACTGAGAAAAAATATGTAACACACGGAATAAATACATTTTTAAAATGAAGAAGTCCAAACATTTGGAAAAGGAATAGCAACCACGAAGTCAGCTCCTCGTTCTTGTTAGAGATGCACACCTACCTCTCAGCTGGCTAAAAGTGATAATGAATTTGCCGGTTACAGACTTCAGCTCATTGTTGGCCAACGTGATGAGATGTATGCCTTCAGCCACATGCCTCATGACTTTATAAAGAGCGATGGGAAATGTCATCAATTTGCAGTCTGCCAAATCTAAAGAAAAACAGCAAAGGAGGAAAGGAAGGGTGAGAGAAGAAATATTGAGTTTTCCAGAACAAAATAAGTTGCATTCTGATGCATCCAATTTTTATCAGTTGTCTGTCCTGAGGATTAGATACTTGCAGTAGAAGAATCAGGAGCAGATACACTTAAGGTAACTTTGAAATAAAGTCTATCTTGATAAGACAGGATGGAGTGTTGCAACAGACCAGAATATCAAAATAATAGTGCTGCCAGGAGGTTATAATGCTGCAAAAATCCTATCACTTAATTATGTTTTTCTTATCACTTAATTATGAATCCTATTCACTGACAAACATAGCATGCAGGCAAGAAATGAAAAATGAATTATTGACAAGATAAACGCAAGTAGCTATTGTCTCCACTTCGTTTCAGAAATCAGTAAAAAGTCCACCCTGTCTCTGCTCTGTATTCTTCTATCTCATAACTTCTCTCTGAAGGCCTTGCCCTTCAAAAATACTTAAAGTTTGGTAATGTAGGAATAATATTCCTTCAGCAAAGGAATATAATGAGCACATTTTCTTCCTCCTCTTGGTAAAAGTGGTTTTTGCTCTTTTGAAGTGATCTGACGGAGAACCTGCTCTCATCCTGTACGTGAGAAGAACACTCAAGTAACTCCTCCCTATTCTATGCTAATCTAGCCAGCATGTAGAACAGTGATGGCGAACCTTTTAGAGACCGAGTGCCCCAAAACCACCCCCTGCCCCTGCTCTGCCTCCTTCCCTGCCTGCTCCACCCCCCTGCCCCCTGCCCCACCTGCCCGCAGGCCACGCACAGTCTCCATGGCCCGCTGCAGATCACCCAGGTAGCCCTGCAGCACCATGGAAGCCACGCCATCTGCCCACACCCCGCAGCACTATGGGGCTCAAGGGGAGAGTCTTGTCCCCACTGCCCAGCTATGTCCTTGGCTGTGCTGCTCTGTGCGGGCCGTGCCGAGGGGTGACTCTCCTCCAGGGGGGCTGCTGGTGAGGAGGGGGTCACGGGGGGAGGTGCGGCTGGGATGACGGCACGTGTGCCCATAGAGAGGGCTCCGAGTGCCGCCTCTGGCACACGTGCCATAGGTTCGCCACTACTGATGTAGAAGAAACACAGGGGAAAAGCTATGGAATTGACTCAGCCTTCCATCCTTCCAAGGCTGGTAATATGAGGACCCGCGATTGTTGGGGGCAATATGCTGACATTGTAAACCGCTCGTGCCAACCTGGCACTCAGATAAATCAGCCACTAACAGGGTATACAGAGATAAACAACATCTACACACTATTCAAAAGAGACAGTCAAAATGCCCAAAAGGAAACCAAAAGACCACAGAAATCTCCTCGCCAGCAATAAACATCCATATGAGTAGAAATTAACACTAAGACCAACACTAGACTGACAATCAAAAAGTAAATAATGTCGCAATCAAGGAACTACCAATACCGACAAACAAGCCAACTGTAAAGAGTAGTGTAATCAAGGAACCACCGATACTTACAAGGCAAGTCACTGGTACAGTATATAAAAATAAAAGCAAATCCTTTTAGCACTGAGAAAGTTTGGTAATGAAATGTATGCAAGAAAACACCAAGCTCACAGAGCACGGAGGATCCCACAGTGATTTCCTGTTTCTACAATACTTAGTACTGTACTATTTCACCACCAAGAAGTAGAATTCAGAATTCTTCTTAGAGCCATCTTAAAAAACAGAGGTTGGTTACATAGTCTTAGTAGAAGATAGCAGAAACATAGAAACATCAATTCAAAGTCAAATTGTTCATGTGCCAAATAAATAAATAAAAAAGAAGTATCATTTCATTAAAAGTGAATTAGATGAGTCTAAACAAACTAGTGGAGCACTTTTTATTGTGAGAATAATCTTCTGAAGATGCTAACAAATTGAGCAGTATGAAAGGCAGGGAATAGTTTTTATAGTCTCAAACCTGACTTCTCTAGCAACACTACGCCCTTCAGAAAAGCTGCATTAATCACAATGTAAGATCACAGGTTTTTATTTACTTATTAGTAAATGGCCCTTCATACGCCATGTAACATGGGATAAATATATATTTAATGTTTAAATAAATTAATGTTGTTATTATTAATAGAACATACGCACTGCTAAAATGAAGAAAAAACTTGTACAAAATATACAACATAAAACACAATGCATACCCACATACATAAAATATCAGTCATTTTTGAAGTCTCATCATGAGCAGAAGCTACCTGGGATATCTGATGAATGAACTTCACAGGGACTTAGATGAGGGCAAGTACTCTTCTGAGACCCACAGATTCTCAGCAGCTTTTAATATCATCAACCGTGGTACCCTTCTGGGTCATCCACAATAGGGTTTCCCAACCTTGCCAATTTTAAGAGGTGTGGACTTCAATTCTCAGAATTCCCCAAACAGCCATGCTTCTGGGAATTGAAAAAGACACCTCTTAAAGTTGCCAAGATTGGGAAATCCTGACTTATAACAATTAGAAGTTGGAGTTCATCCATGGCAATTTCAGTCCAGAATCACTAGCTCAGTGCTTTCTCCCCTGCCATGTTCTTCAGTCCCTTTATGAACCTGAAAATATGTGCATCTTTATGACTAAAAACATATTTGATTCCTTTTCAAGCAGAAAATATTTTGCTTTTGCACTAAATGATCATGATCACAGCCTCTACCCCCCCTAAACATCTGAGTAAGGTCCATTTTCATTCTTACGTTGCTTGTCTTTGCAAGCATATCTCTAGATCAGTGATTCTCAACCTTTTTAATGCCGCGACCCCCAACCGGTCGTAAGTCGAGGACTACTCGACCGGTCGTAAGTCGAGGACTACTCAACTGGTGCAGCACCATTTGCAGAATGGGTCTTTTGGCGGGCTCAGCAGGGCAGAGACAGCCTGGACAATTCCTATTGGCTTTTGAAAGCCAATAGAATTAGACTCTGTTCAAGAGAGTCTATTCTATTGGCTTTCAAAAGCCAATAGAATAAAAGAGAGTAGCACAGCTAAGGAAAAGGGGGGAAAAATGGCGGACTGCGTTGTTTGGCGACCCCCATGAAATGGTCATTCGACCCCAAATGGGGTCCCGACCCACAGGTTGAGAACCACTGCTCTAGATCTTGTTTGATCTCAAAAAAAATGAGAAGGGCTGGATCTCATTAGTATTTGGATGGAAAAACCAAGAGGAAACCCACATCACAAGTCATAAAATGGCCAAGTTTGAAGACCCCTGACCTGTACTATAGTCAAGACAATGAAATGGAACATGCATGAAGTCAGAAGAATCAAGGGAATCTTTCCACCAATCTCTCATTTCTTTTTAAGACAAGTAAATTTTAGACTTTACTAGATGGATAAAGTGTCAGAAGGCAAAAGGCTTATTACTTTGGAATGTTTATTAAGCACATGACATGGTCTTTGCAGTTTGCTAGCTAACATAGTTACTTTATATTTTACTTTGTATTTTAAACATAGTTACTTTATATTTTACTTTGTCTTTTAAACATAATTACTTTATATTTTGATTTGACTTGTTTTCTCTCTTTTAAAATGATGTTTAGGCTCATCGATGTTCAGACTGGAACGTAGGAATAGCTTTTAACAAACCGAAAAGATAAACAGGCTGGAGACGCTCTCCAGATAAGAGAAAGTTTGTTAGCACAAATTTGGGTTTGGTTTATCTCTTTCATGAACACTAAACAACCTTTTCCCTTACTATTCACGCCCCTTCTCAGGTCAGATCTCATTTTTTTTTTTAATTGAAAAATTTTTAAAAGTTTTACAAGTCAACCCTCACCCAATCCCTCCCAAACCCCCCTTCCCCCCTCCCCAAACTTCCCAGAACTGAATATAGGCTTATTTAAAATTTTAAAAAACCTTTTACAACTTATGAGATAATTAATAATAAGATATACATAACATAAACATTAAAAAAGTACTTAAAAAAGAAATAAAAAAAGGAAAGAGAGAGAAAGAAAAAGAAAAAAAAAGAAAGAGAAAAAAATAAAAGAAAGAGAAAAGAAAACAAAAGACAGAAAAAGAAAAGAGAAAACAATCTATACAAACTATGAAAAAGCTAAATGATATTTTTCCATATCCAAATTATGTTGTATAAAATTTATCCATTTTTTCCATATAACAAAAAATTTCTCTTGAGATTGCTCCTTTAAGAAAGCCGAAATCTTTGCCATTTCCGCCAAGTAAGAAACTTTATAAAACCACTCTTGTAAAGTAGGCAAAGATTCCTTCTTCCAATATTGTCCTACTAACAGCCTTGCGGCTGTAATCAAATTTAACATCAATATGACTTCCTTAGCATCACAATCAGTAACAATACCTAATAAAAATAATTGTGGGGTGAATTTAACCCTCCTTCTAAAGATTCTTTGGATATTCCACCATATCTTAATCCAAAAAGCTTTTATATTTTTACACGACCACCAAATATGGTAATAAGTAGCATCCAAACAACCACATCTCCCACATTTAGGCTGTAGATCAGGGTACATAATAGACATTTTTTGTGGATCAAGGTGCCATCTATAAAACATTTTGTAAAAATTCTCTCTTAAATTCTGCTCTTGTGTGAATTTAACATTCCTCATCCAGATAAGTTCCCAGGTATCCAATGGGATTGGTTCACCAATATTTTGTGCCCATTTAATCATACAATCTTTGATTAATTCAGATTCTGAATCCATTTCAACTAAAACCCCATAAACCCTCTTAATATGAGTTGGTCTTTGATCCCTTACTTGTTTAAAAAGATTTTCATCTTCTCTAAGCCAACCCATATTACGATCCGTCTTCCATCTATCCACTATTTGTCTGTATTGAAACCATGAGTAAGTAATGTTTACATCTACTAAGTCTTCCAAAGATTTTAACTGCCAATTTTGACCATCCCATCTAAGTAGTTGTGTATAGGAAACCGTATCCATCTTGACTCCTCTCTTTATCCCCTCTATCGCATGCCAAGGTATAGCCCATAATG